CTGACCTTGTCAGCAGGGATGTGCCAGGATGCAGCAGTGGGAGAGGGATACCTGCATGCCCAAAATAAGGGGATGCGTCATCAGCATAAAACTTAAAAATGACAATTAAACAAACTAAGAGTAGGTCTTAATCACCAAGAAAATCTCCCCACAAAATCTTTTGTTGGTCTAAGTTCTAAACAATTGCTGCATTTACTGCTGTTTTTCTAAATTTTATTGAGATGTAATTAACATACCACACAACTCATCTATTTAAAGTACACAAGTTGTTTTTAGTATAATCACAGAACTGTACAACAATGACCACAATCAATCTTAGAATATTTTCATCACCCTAAAAAGAAACCTCATACTCATTAATAGCCACTTCCCATTCCCCCACCTTCCCACCTATTCCCCCAGCCCTAAGAAACCACAAATCTACTTTCTATCTTTATAGATTTGTCTATGCTGGACACTTCATATGAATGGACTCATAACAATATCTGGCTTTTTGTTTCTGGCTTCTTAACAGTGTTTTCAAGGGCCATCCATGTTAAAGCATGTGTTGGTACTTAAGTCCTTTTTATTGCCTAGTAATACTCTGTTCTATGGCTGTACCACAGTTTATCCATTCATCAGTTGATGGACATTTGTGGTGCTTCCACTTTTTGGCTGTTGTGAATAATGGTACTATGAACATTTGGGTACAAACTTGTATGCAGATGTATGTTTTTATTCACTTAAGGTCTATATATGTCTAGGACTGGAATTACAGGATCATAGGGTAACACTGACACTGTATTGACATTTTGAGGGATTATGAGTTTTAATAATATGTATGCAAATATATTTGGTATACTAGTACACTTCTATTATTTATCCTTTAATAAACTTGGAATAGTAGATTTTCATTCCTTGTCCTTTAATATTTTTTCAATATGGATTTTACTTGGAGAACTCCTACTTATAGTGACATCCATGACCAGGTAGCACAAGGCTGTTACAAGGATGTTACTCTTAATTGAGTCCCAAGCCATGTTCACGTAACACATGGACTCAGGTAAACGTTCATTTAACAATTAGGTCATACTGATTTAAGTAGTTTGACCTTGTTTCAGGTGCAGTGTGTGTTTCTAGCTCCTGCAGCACTGCATATTCCTGCATTCAGTAGATGTGAAATAAACAAAAATAGCACAGTAAATACAGAGAGAATCAGAACTTAAGTCATTATATGACCACTTGAGGTTTTTTTGTTTTGTTTTGTTTTTCACTTGAGGTTTTTGTGTCTTAAACTTCAAACAGTGACATAGGGTGCAACTTCAAAATATGATATTTTTGTTTTGTAAGTACAAATTTTAGTTCATACGTTAAATATTTTACTGAACTTGAATATCTTTAAAGTAGAATTCCATTTTTTATTGAAGCTCAGAATTCAAAGCTAAAAATAGAATTTTATTCAAGTTAAGCTTGAAAAGAATTTTAGTTTTATTTTAAAACTAAAAAAATCAGAAAATACCAGGGATTGCTTTTATTGCATTATACACTTATTACTGAGCATAAATCCATTCTGTAGAGGAGAGTAGCATTAAAAATCACTTGATCCAGATGTCAGATATGCTAGGCCTGCCACTGTGTATGAACTTGTACAAGATGACCAAGTTATTTAGGAAATATTTCTTGCACTGAGTAAGCTTAAATTGACAGTAGAAAATGGAAACAGATTGGCAGTGTGGAAGGAATTCCTGACTAAGTTACATGTTTAGGGAGCAGTTCAGAGTTATGAATTACTTGGGTATATCAAGACTGAATGAGAAGTGGAAATTTGGGAAATTTGTATAAGAGGGTAAACCTGGGCCTGCATCTGGAGTAAGAAGCAATTTGAGATTCTCAAACAAGACAGCAACTTTGGTGGGGGAGAGCTTGAGTTTCATCATTTGGCAGCAACACACAGCATGAGTGGGAACAACAGAAGACCTCAGTGAAAGGGGAGTTACAAGGTTGGTATGTAATTTCAGGCATTAGCTAATGACATTCTCCTTGGGGATAGCAGTTACAGGAATGGAGAAGGAACAAATCAAAGAGATCTTACAAGCAATATTGTAAAGATGTCTATTTTCCCCTAAGTTGACCATAAGTTTAACGCAATTCTTATCTAAATCTCGGCAAGGTGGTTTTTTTTGTAGATATCAATAAGCTTATTCTAGAATGTATATGGAAAGGCCCTAAAATAGCTAGAACAATCTTGAAAAAGAAAGATAAAGTGGGAAGAATCACACTACACAGTATTAAGACCTCATATATAACTATAGTATAAAGGTGGTATTCTATTAGCAGATGGACACATAGATCAATGTAACAGAATAGGGAGTACCCCCGCATAATCCCCGACAGACCCCAGCACAATTACAGCCAACCAACTTTTAGCAAAGTTGCAGAAGCGATGCAATGGATGAAGAGGAGCATTTCCAAAAAATAGTGCTGGAGCAACCAGACATTCCTAGACCAAAAAAGAAAATGAACCTTAATGTAGACTTTGTACCTTATATAAAAGTTAGCTCAAAAGAGATCACAGACTTAAATATAAAATGCAAAACTATAAAACTCTTAGGAAAAAAATTAGAAAAATCCTTGGAATATGAAGCCAGGCAAAGAGTTCTTACACTTGACACCAAAAGCATAACCCACAATGGGAAAAATTGATAAATTGGACCTCATCAACGTTATAAACGCACTCTGCAAAAGACTTTGTTAAGAAGTGAAGCAATAAGGTAGCGAGAGGAAGAAAATATGTGCAGACTGCACATCTCAACAAAGGACTAGTATATGGAATATATTAAAAAACGTTCAAACCTCAGCAGTAAAAAACAAATAACCCAATTAGAAAACATACAAGAGACAAAGGCAGACATTGTATCAAAAAAGATATACAAATGGTAAGCATAGGAATAGATGTTCATCACTATTAGCCACTAGGGAAAGGCAAATTAAAACCACAATGAGATACAGGTCATGTGGTCATTTCTGATTTGGCTGGACCACACATTTATGGCACATATGAAGGGTCTAGTGTCTAGAAATCAATAATTTATCCAGTAAAAGGGCTTAGCTGTTGCCAGTGGCTCTCTTAAAGTGGCTTGTTCCCTTCTCGTTTTGTCATATAAATGAAGTGTTCTAATTGTATTCCCAAATCTGAAGATCTGCAAAGGTCTCCAGAGGTAGCTCTCCAAAATGTCACATCTACGTCTAGCAAGATTTAGTGACCAATTGCATATAGGAGTTACTCATAAAAAGCAGGAGTTGCAATTCTCACACTTAATAAAATAGATTTCAAAGCTACAAGGATGCAAGGGTAAAAGGATTAATGTAACAATAAGAGATCTTAACACCCAGATACATAAGACACATAATGAGATTTAGATTCAACGAGACAACAAATTGATAACAATATCCAGGACTTGAACTCAGTGCCAGAACAAATAAACACAATAGAGATCTCCATTTTAAACACATAAAATATGCATTAACCACTTTAAACACTCAAAATATTGATCGGCCATTATTGAAACCCATTTTAGGAATGAAGTAATATTCCGTTTTCCCTCTTTTTCTTTTTTCCCCTTCTTTTTCTCTTTTTCCCTCTAAAAAAAAAAAAAAGGAGTTACTCAAGTGTTTATGAAAATTAGCACCCTTTGACCTTATCAACAGTCACAGCAGCTATGTGGGGCAAAACCTGGGCCACTTGCTAGCTGTGTGATGTGACAAGACACGTATTTCTTTGAGATTCAGTTTCCTCCTCTTAAAATGAGAATGGCAGTTCTTCCCTTACAAGGTCTTGTGAGGATTAGATCAAACACCATACGTATGAGGTACCCAGCCTAGTGCTCAGTGTGGTTGTGGCTTGTGTTTCCATACACAAGCCAACGCTATAGTCTCCAGGAAGGATTTAAGTGAGTCTCTTTCTGGAGTGCTTTAATTTTGTTGACCATGTGGCTGAGAATGTCTGAAAAAAATCCCAAATTTATTATTCTGCCTTGCTTTTCTCTTACATATGCTAGTGCTTGTCTGAATACATATTTTTTTGTTTTTTCAAAACACAAGATCACTTTAGCTATACCCGACTTTTCCCATGGTCACTCAGCTGGCCAAGGAGCTGAGCAAATGTCTGCATGAGCTTTCCTTAAATGTGTGCATTAGCATGGGAAATATCATGGGATTTTTTTTCTCTCACCTAGCAGAGCCTATACAGAGAAGGTACCCATAAACATTTGCTGAATGAAAAAAATGAATGAGTCTTGATGCTATACAGGAACATGAAGTTGGGAGTGAGGAGTCCACATGTATTCTCTTAGCCAGGAAGATATTTGAGGACAAAGACAGGCAGGGCGCATAGTTTAGATGTTAGATGGTCATAAAGGGGTGGGGAGGAGAGGGTGCATCCAACTGTGGAAGCCTGGAAAAGCTGCAGTAAGGACATGACATTCATGGTTGTCTTAAGCTGGTGTTGCTGTTGCTGATGGTAATAATAGCAGCAAACTGGTATGTAACACTTTTTACGTCAGGCACTGTTCTAAGTGCTTTCCACAGGTTAACTCGTTTAATCTGCTCAGCAACTGTGGGAGAGTTACTATTATTCCCCTAATTTGACAGATGGGGAAGCTAAGGCACACAGAGGGTAAGAAATTTGCTCAAGGTCACACAGATTGTAAGAAGAAAATCTCCCCCAAATTAGCATTATGAACTCTTGAAATATGGTTCTAGGGAAGCCAAGGGAGAACCATCACACTGTTCCATCTGCTGTGAGAAGAGTATGACTCCTCTCTTAACATATACCTATAAACATGGGTAATTGGACTTCACAGGGCTACTATACTCATGTTGCACACTTTGAATGGTTGTAGTAATTTGCAGTGAAAAATCCATCACTGATGTGATGTAACAACAAAAAATCTGTGTGTAAGACATTGCTGCTACCTCTCAGGGGTCTCCCAGACATCCTCTTACTTTTCTTTTTTTTTTTTTTTAATATGGAATGCTTCATGCATTTTCATGTCATTCTTTCCCAGGGGCCATGCTAATCTTCTCTGTATGGTTTCCATTTTAGTATATGTGCTGCCCAAGTGAGCACACCTCTCCCTTTCTGACATGAGACTTACAAGTTCTGGGCACTCCTAGAATGTTGATCAAAATCATAGCAGACCACAGGTCACAGCTTGCACCTAAGCTGGTCCTCACCACTTTTTTGTTAAGATCATGGTGGTTTTACTTTTTCATATTCATGGCCACATTCCTCAATTGGAGTCCCTCTCTGTTTCACAACCTGCTTCCTGTGGCTCTGTGTGTGTCTGTTTGTATAACAGAATGTGTGCTATGGCTGTATGAGCTTTGAAAGAGCAGTTGTAACCCAGGCCTCTCAATGGTTTTTTGTTAATGAGCCCTGCATCCTCATCCAGCTCTAGCAATGATTTGCTAAAAACAGACTGAGGTCATTCATGTGTAAATGGAGACACACCAAGAAAAAAATTAATACCAAATGTACATCAAGATCAAAAGAAAAAATAAATTTCTCAATGGAATACTCAGAGCTATGCAGAGACCATTGGTTGCTGCTGCTTCACATAAAATTGAAAGTCAGAGCATGTTTCAGTAAGGTTCTTAAAAAGGCTGGGACCAACCAGAGGCCGTGATTTGAGAATCCCACAAGGATGACTGCCCCTAAAACTGGCTGAATCCTGAATTACGCAGGAAGTATGTACCCACCAAAAACTGTAATAGATGCCAAAAAAGAATAACTAAGAGTCTCAAGGCCTACAACCAAAGGAACTCAGGGCCTACAACCAAAACATTTTCATTTGAAAACAAATACACACAATGTTATAGTGAAATTAGCGTCCATAAACTATTTGATCACAAATTATAATTTGATGAATTTTTCAAAATCAAAAATATGTAAACATGTCAGAACAAATTATTCTCCTGATTATCATTGACAGGCGAGTCTACAGAAGTAAATGTAGACCTTGGGTCCAACATTTTCATTTGTACATTCGATCATGCATTCATCCAGGGAGTATCTATTGAGCACCTAGTAGGTGCCTCCTATACCAGCCAGTATAGGAGGCTGGTTAAGAGTGGGATTGGGAGTCAGAGAGACCAGGCTTAAATACTTGCTCCACCACTTACAAACTGAATGACTGTTCCCCAAGGGAGTAAACCTCCCTCAGCTCCTGATTTCTCAACTGTAAAATGAGGACTATCATACTTGCCTTGCAAGGTTGGATTGGATGAAGTAATATATGTGACAAACTTATCCCAGTGCCTGGCCCACAGTAAATGTTCTGAGGAAAAGGGAGGAGCCAGGGGTGTGGTACTCTAACAATTTATACTTCCTAAACCCAGAGATACCCTGGCATCTTCCTCCTCACTTTTCTAGAAGAGTGCTCCAAAGGTACATCCCCCTGCCCCAGCCCATCCAAATATGCATACTGTCAAAAATGTGGCTGGGGCTGGGTGCAGTGGCTCACACCGGCCATGGTGGCTCACACCTATAATCCCAGCACTTTGGGAGGCCAAGGTGGGTGGATCACCTGAGGTCAGGAGTTCGAGACCAGCCTGGCCAACAGGGTGAAACTCTGTCTCTACCAAAAATACAAAAAATTAGCTGGGCGTGGTGGCAGGCACCTGTAATCCCAGCTACTCGGGAGGCTGAGGCAGGAGCATCACTTGAACCTGGGAGGTAAAGGTTGCAATGAGCTGAGATCATGCCACTGCACTCCAACCTGGGCGACAAGAGTGAAAGTCCATCTCAAACAAAAACAAAAACATGTGGCTGGCTGGTAGCCAAAGAGCAGGGCCACTAGGAGGTTCATGCAGAGGCAGGCTCAGAAGACAGGGATGCTGATGGGAAGGGGAAACCTGATGCGGATATCAAGGCTGGCTTCATCCTTGCTCTACCTTTTCTCCCTGAGGCCAGGTAGGAAACAGCTTCCCCTTATCTCTTTAGGGTGGGGAGCTCAGGGACACTCCTGGACATCTAGAAGCCTCTAACCCAATGGGCAGTCTGGCTCCCTGACACACGGACACCTGCTGCTGCCCACCCTGTCTCAGTTCCTTCTCCTGGTGGAAGAAGCTAAATCATGAGAGGTGTCCCATGAGGAGGCCTAAGGTTGGCCCCGGAGGGCAAATAGGAGTCAGGGGAAGATTTGTCATTGTGGCCATGTGAGCTTGATACTGAGAGGGAGTGCTGCTGCTGGCCGGGCCCACAAAGGATGGGAAAGGGACTCAGAGACAAGTTATCACATTCAGCAGGTAAGAATAACAGACCCTGGACTAAATTTGAATTTCAGATAAACAACAAGTCATGTTTTAATCTATGTCCCATGCAATACTGGGGGTATACTGATACAAAACGTTATTCATTAATTATTTGAAATTCAAATTTAACTGGATGTTCTGTATTTTATCTGTCAACTCTAATCAGAAAGGGAAGGAGGAGAACATCCTCCATTTTCCCTGTGTTTCCATCTGAAACCAGATAGAACACAGTATCTCAACAGTCTGCCCGTTCTGCAAGTCACCCTCATAGGCTGAAGCCTGTAGCCCAGTCTCTTGGAGGAGATATTGAGTCAGAGTCCCCACTGTGCAGAGCATGGTACTGGGTGAAAGGAATACAGAGGTGTACAACAGCCCCTGACTTAAGGACCCACTCACTAATGGGGGACCAAAACCCAATGGGACAGTAATCACAATTAAAATAACAATAGCAATTATGAATATTTATTGAGAGCTTATTGGGCTACTGTTCCAAGCACTTCGTAGATTATTTTATTTATGTTTTTATTCGTTTTGCTTTGTTTTTGAGACAGAGTCTCACTCTGTTGCCCAGACTGGAGTACAGTGGCTTGATCATGGCTCACTGCAGTCTTGACCCCCCATCTCAGGTGATCCTCCCATCTCAGCTTCCAGAGCAGCTGAAATCACAGGATGCACCATCACCCTGGTTAATTTTTACCACCCTATGAAGTAGATTGTATTATTAACTTCAGTTTTCAAATAAGGAAACTGAACCTTGTAAGGAAGGTAACCAACCATAGTGTTTTTACCCAAATTGAGATGTGTTTTGTTTATTTTTATTTCTAAGAGAAATTTCACTGCTGGTAGGTTTTTAAAAAAAAAATTTTAGAGATGCGTTTTTAAGTGAAAGGGAGCACAATCCATAACTACACAGAGCAGCAGCTGTCCTCTGGAGCTGCCCCAGCACACTGGGATTATGGCATTCTACTCATAGGAGGCATGCGTGGTAGAAAGTGGCAGTGGGAGGCTTCCAACCCAGGCAGAATGGCTCCAGAACTCATGCCCTTAACCAGGAACAGTAAGAAAGGAGGCTGATCCACAGGCACTTCCTCTCATTGAACACCAAGCTTCTGGGGATGGGGCCTCCTGTTTTGCTTCCCACTGTGTCCTTGAAACCTGATACCCAGCACCCAGTACCCAAGCATAGACTGGGTGCGAAAAAGCACTTGATGAGCAAATGAAGCTGGGAAGCCTTTGTGGAGATGGTAGGATATGAACAGAGCTTGAATAATGGAGAGGACCTAGGCAGGGACCCCTTTCTCTTCCTGGCTCTGTCCCTCTTCCCAGGTGCTTGAGGCAGGATCAGTGAGAGAAGGCCATTCAGTGAGCTCTGCATGGGACTGCAAACTAAATCACTGGGACATAAAAAGGTGACACCTATTCTTGAAACTAAGTCATGAAGGGCTCTGTTAGCCCTGACCCAACTCTTTCACATGGTGCTTACTCAGGTACTCACTGCCTGCCCTCTCCAGTCCAGATTCTATATAGATTTAGAATCTGTCACATTGCCTGCATCCTGACCAACTGACTGCCCTGTATTGGGTCCTGTAGCACCAGCAGTACTCTGTCTTCCCAGTGAGCTGATCCCCAGGAAGTCTACCCAACTTCCATCTCCTTAACCAGCTCAGGACTACTTTTCTCTGTGTTCCCACTAGAGGCCCTAGCCTGAGGCCACCCACTCCCAGTGGCTCTGACTGCACCCCTAGAGCCTGCTACTTCCATCTCTTCAGTGAATTTAAGCCTACAACAATCCACCGCAAGCCTACACCCTCTTTAAACAGGAATAATGAGATCTTTAAAACAATAAACAAACCCCTCCTTGCTGAGGATCAGCTACTCACTATTTAAGAAGAGAAGGCAAATTTATAGAAGGGAGAGGCAGCCTCTGACAGCTGGCTCTCCTCTCTCTTTAGAAATATATCATTAAACCCAGTGACTCCTGCCTGACAGCTGTAGAATGAACAAGGAAGGGCTATGTGTGACATTTTTGTTCTGCTGACAATTTGACTGCATGTAATGAACTAACTAGACTGTAAACTGAGGTGATGGGTAGTGTCTTATAAGTGTAAGCTACTTCTTTGAATCCCAAAGTCTAGTGCAGTTTTACTTATGGGAATACAATAAACACAATTAATTTGAGCTGACTGCTAAGGGTGTGTCTAAGCTTAAATAGCCTAAATTACTTCTGACACAAAAGTGCTAGTTAGTCTGTGGCAGAAAGAAGCCCAAGTTCTTAAGCCCTAATCCTGAAAATCAGAGCAAAAGGAAATGTCAATCACTTTACAAATCATTCTGGTCCCCTTGTCTCAGTTTCTTTCCAACTGCAGGGCTTTGTTGCTGTCAAGCTGGGTGACCTTGGTTAGGTCCCTAAACTTCCTGGGTTCTTAATTTCCTAGTGCTGAATCAGGCAGGTTCAATAAGATGATCTTACGGTCTCTTCCAACTCTGACATTCCAGGATTCTCACTGACCAAAAAGTGGAGAGCAGAGATAGAGTATGGAGTGGATGCTTGGGGAAGGAGAAAATAAACATAGATCTGGAAAGGGACAAAAAGCACTGGAGACTAGAGTATACTTTGTCATCCCTCACTAAGATGGTGTCATTTGTCACATCCTACAGGGTGTCCAGCTGATGCCCATGCACCTGGGCCCAGCCTTTTCTTCCACTCATTCCTCCAAGTTTGTGCTCTGCTTTGTTCCTGGCACTGCGTAAGGCACAGGGAAATTACTGGACTATAAACTGAGGCCAAAGATAGTGTCTTATAGGTTGAGTAAG